GATGAAGAAAAATAAAGATAACATTTTAAATTTAAGACCTATTAGTTAATTTATTTTTTCACTAATTGCGTGTATGTGGGTGAGGAGGGGAGGAGGGCTCTTTCACCTGTTTAGTTGCTGGTCACTTTGTAGCTGAGTTGTCAAAGTCTAAGGTGTTAATGAACTCCCTAAAGTGTTGTCTCTATGGCATAAGACATACCATGCCAAAGGCACCTTTAAAATTGTTATAATTAATTGGACCTTTGTACAATGCGCATATATTCCCACAAACTCATTCATTCACATTCCTGAATATTAACAGTTATAGTCATAAACACTAAAGAAATACACTAGTATAGCATCAAGTAATTAAATTATATATTCTATTCTATTCTAACAGCCAAACGTATACCATCAATAAAAGTTATGTAATAGATGATAAATAATTATTTGATAAATAGGACCAATATTTATTTCGAAAAAAGAGTTTATTAAAAAATTTTATTTTTTATTGAGATAAATATTGGTCCTGTTCTTTAATTATTAATTAACTATCCATTAAAAAAAAAACTATTCCAAATAAAAAAATAGAACCTTATAAAAAGTAAAACACAACAGAACTTATATACCATATTTAATAGAGTAACATGCGCATGTTATTGACAGCATACATCAAAGTTTCTGTAGAATTGATAAATTTGTGTTATACTGTTCGGCCTAGCATGTACTAAAAGTGGGCAAAGTGCGTAAAAAGAAATATGTTTCATTTTATCAAATACAGAATATGGCACATGGTTGTTAGGTATTTTTTTTTATGCTGAATCGATCCGTGAAATTAGTTTTTCAAGAAAAAGTTTATGTTCTGGATAAAACTAGGGGAAGCAAAGATGGATCCACGGTGGGGGAAGGGGATGGAGGGGCTGAAGCCCTCACCCCTCCAAAATGGTAAAATATTACCATATCTTATGAAAAAAGTATTATTATTGTTGTTGTAAAGTATTATTGTTCGTGTAATTACATTTATTAGGACTTTAAGAATCATTGAAACATCATTTTGTATAGACATATTTTGTATAAACATATAAAAAAAAGGTTTTGGGCTGATGAAGCCCCCCTCCAAAATGAAATCTTGGATCCGCTAGTGAGGGGGAGGAATTTATAAACAGGAAAACACATATTTATTTTAATGATCATTATTTAGGAACACTGTTTCGTTTTTGAAACTAAGAAAATTTTAATTTTATTAACGTCGCTATTAGTGAAAAAAACTCAATATGTTCTCAGTTATTTAGGCATGGCTGTCGACTCAAGTTGGGCTCCGACATAGAAAGGAAATGTAAAAAAATATTATTTATTTAGAAACAGAAAGATTACATTATGGGACCTGAGATCATACACACTTCCTTAAAGCAGGTCATCTGGTCACTTTACCTAATGATTGAGGCATCTGAAGTATCATTACTATTTCGACCACAATGAATTTTTCGGTTTGTAAAATGATAAAATTTATGTCATGCTTTTTGTCATTTCCTTTCTATTTAGTTGGCTAATATTGATTTGGTCCATTTCTGCAAAGCCAACATCTATGAAATAGATAATTTTGGCTTCTCAGATCACATGAGAAGCCAAAACTCCATGGTATGGCCTGAATAAGGTGTAATTTAGAACATATTGAGTTTTTCACTTGTTTTAAAAGTACTTTTCTATTATGTCCTGCTCAACTACCCATGGTTAAAATGCCAGTTGATTTTTCTCTAAGCGCTGTAGACACATTTACTTGTTTTTTCGAGCTAAAAACAAATTTGTTTAACTGAGAAAAACAATAGCGACAAGAACAAATTTTCATAGTATCACAAAACAAAAAGTGTACCTAAATAATGATAATTAAAATAAATGTGTATTATCTTGTTTTTTGTAGTTTCCCCTCTTGTTTTTTTGCTATTTATTACTGATTATCCAGAACATAAACGTTTTCTAAAAACGATTCAGTATAAAAAATCAATTCTTCATAAACTTTGAAGTATGCTCTGAATATTAAAAAATAAATAGGATTTATAATTTGTGCACATTTATTCTCTGTAAACTTGTTAAATTTGAAATTAACCTGAAAAATTAAGGACATATCTATTCAACTATTTGCCTCTATCATACAAAATATGAAAAAAAAAGTGGGGCTCTAACGGTGGAACTCCGTTTAATTGATATCAGAAAATTTCTGAGTATTAAAATCTAAACAATTTGAGTCCAAATTCGATCCATGGTCGAGTTATAACGGACAGAAACTTTGGTATAATATAGTAAAACTTGAAATCGTTCCGAGTTGAAAATATATTAAATGTAGTTAAGTAAAGTATTGAAAAGAATATATAAATCATTTATGACTATACCTGTTATGTAAACATGTTACCACGTGGGATTAGAACTCTATTTCCAGGACATTCAACTTCAAGGCTACATTACATAAATGAATACTCGGTGATTATAAAAGTATGGTACTACATATGTTATATTTTTTTATTAATTGAAATATTCGAAACGCGTATTCATTTCTTTACTTATTATTTAATTATAAATATGAACCGTGGGGGATAGTTGTAAAATTCAGGATGTGATAATTAAAATTAATTTACTGCACGGTACTAAATGAACTTCAATAATTTTAAGCAACAATGATTATAAAGTAATATAGATATAATGTATAAATATCATGAGTACTTATTGAGTATTCTTATATAGAATTTGGAAATTACAATTTATATATTCTAAACATGGGTTAGACGAAGGATTAAGTTTGTCAAAACTAACATTAAGTTCATTATTTGAAATAAGGTACACGCAGCATATTTTATTAATTTCTTTTTCTCTGCCTTGCCTTTCGGCCATCCGGATTTTGCAGGGATGGTATATCACACAACTATGTGTATGCCATCCCCGTTGTTAAACATACAAGATTTAAACATAAAAAACATTCTTATCTCCTTCGGGTCTTCGGGTAAAGAATAGTTCCGTCATTCTGGCGGTCTTCTTAGGTTGGTCCTCTTCTTCATGGACTTAAGTGTGCCGGGTCCAGAGCAGCTTCCCATCCATACACAAAATCTTTGTAATACGGTTAGTTCTGCTCTAATTGAGCAAATTCATTTTCTGTGAGAGGATAAATTCCAGTTTTCCGCATCGTTCTGGCCCTTAGGCCATTAAAGGCGTTGCAGTTGAATATGACGTGCTCAGCCTTCTCCGGTACTCCGTATCTGGGGCTTAAAGGGTCTATATCTTTTCCAAGGCAGTGCAACTTAGCGCGGAATCCCCCCTGCCCTGTAATGATTTGAGAGACCCAGTTGTCTCAGAGAACCCATTTCGCTTCCAAATGGCTCTTAACGGTGGGAAAATATTTCTTTGGTGGTGTTCACCCATTTTCGATTCCATCTATATTATCCTCCCGAATGATCTTCCATATCCTTGAGTTTTCAGCAATTCTTACTCGGTTAATCTCCTGGAGACCTGCTGAGCCTCTTCTTTTGAACGTCATTCTCAATGAGGATTCACGGAGTATGAGGTCGAGAGGCACCCTTCCTGTTAAGACCTGACCTGCATTCAGCTTCGGTATGATTTGGTGACGCGCAAAAGAGCCGTACGTTTAATCGTCGCCAACCTGCATTTCAGTCGGTGTAAGACGTCCTGGGACCAAGCAGGAGAGGAGTGCCTCAGAATACCAGTATAATTTCATTATAAATGGTCATCTTAGCTGGGGAATACGAGGCCCCAAAATGCACCCCGAGGCGATTAATGATTAAGTAATAATTGCAATAAATTTAATATGATAACACATTGTTTGTCTAATATATTAATACATTGTACTTCTCTACTTTATATGAAATTAAAAAGCAAGGCAACAAACAGTGCTAAATAAAGAAGGGATGAAAAAATATTTAATAAAACCTACACAACATATAAAACTAAAATTAAGTTCATTATGAAATGAGGGAATATGTTGGGATCGAACATTAGGAAATAAGCTGGTATTGACATTGTTCATTTGAAACGAACTTCTGGTTAAATTTTATCATATTCTCCCTATAAAAAAATATGTATAGTTTTTTATATTTAATCAGAGATTAATGATTGTGAAATTACAATCGAGAGATTTACTATTTCAATGGAGTGAATTTAATCCATTACATTGAAAATTTTCTGTATACAACTTTATAAATGGGTTCCTGATATGTATAATTAAAAAATAATATTAACCTAAAGCATACTTACGTTGATGAGTATATTTGCATTTTTATGGTACTTGAACTATATTTACTATATACTATATACTATATACATGAACTATATAGTACTTGAACTTTGGTGGTATTGAACTATATTACGAGAACCAATCCAAATTTTCAATTTGGATTGATTCAGTAAATGTTTGAACCTTTTAGTTTATTTTTGATTTTTTAACGTTGAAACATTATTTCTAATGTTTTCATACCAGAATTGTGTTTGGTCATAGTTTTATAAATTTATGCTTGCTATTTTTAAATTTTATGTGTTCAACTTCTACATTTAGATGAAGGATTAGTTTATGTCCATTAGATTATTCAAAACAAATTATTTATCCTGAAACATTACAAGTATTTCTACTCATTAAGATACAGAGGATACTTTACTTACTTCTAGTTGTAATTAATCAGCAATTAATATTTCAATGTGGGAAATGTTAAAACCTATAGGAAATATAATATAGATTGCATAGTGATGACATACTTTTTATTTCAATTCATCATAGAAACGTTACTTGAAGAAGTGAGTGCAGGAAGTAGTAAAAACGAGGTCACGGTGGACAAATAAACTAAAACAGAGACAACAGAGGATGCATTGGTCAACAAGGGACGCGATGCATATCCTCGAGTTTAATTATCTGAGGGTAGGTTGCGGAAGGGAGAGACAGAGCGCCAGGGGTTGCATAACCCGCCCGATCTGGAGGGGAACGGCATATAAGAGCCGCCCGTCCAGTCCCAACTGCAGTATTCAACATGAGATCTGTCTGTCTAGTAGCAGCCTTATGGCTGGTCGTCGCCGCCGGCGAGAAGAGAGGTCTCTCCGATCTAGGATACTACGGAGGGCATTTCGAGTCCGGCTTCCAGCCTATGATCGGCCATCACGAAGAGAACCACCATGTCAAGGCCATCACCATTACTAAGAAGGTACCGGTACCTTATACCGTAACCGTTGAGAAGAAGGTACCGTACGAAGTCAAGGTGCCAGTGGACAAGCCATATCCCGTGTATGTGCCTAAACCGTACGCAGTGTACGTAGAGAAGAAAGTTCCCTACGAAGTGAAAGTACCCGTACCTCAGCCCTACACTGTCGAGAAACACGTGCCAGTACCAGTCAAAGTACCAGTGGACAAGCCGTATCCAGTACATATTGTGAAACCTTACCCCGTCTACGTCGAGAAGAAGGTTCCATACCCAGTCGAAAAGAAGATACCATATCCAGTAAAGGTACCCATCGATAGGCCCTACCCAGTTCATATCCCTGTCGAGAAGCCAGTACCTTACCCTGTAGAAAAGGCTGTACCTTATCCAGTTAAGGTACCTGTAGATAATCCGGTACCCTACCCAGTGGAGAAGCCATACCCCGTACCTGTCGAGAAACATGTGCCGTACCCAGTCGAGAAAGAAGTACCTTACCCAGTTAAAGTACCAGTCAAAGTGCCTGTGGAAGTACCCTATCCAGTGGAGGTACATAAGCCCGTCCACATCCCAGTCCATGAGGGACATGAGGGTGGCGAACACTCATATGGTGACTACTCTGGGGGCGAACACTCTTTTGGTGACTACTCCGGCTCTGAAGGTCACTTCGAGGAGTCTTCTGGAGGCCAGCACTACGGCCAGGACTACGGCCATGGCAGCAGCCAGGTCGAACAGAAGATCTACACCGGACATGGCCACTCCACTGGTTTCACGAGTGTAGTACACCACGGATAAAGGACCCAATCTACCTCTAGCTCTCATCTATGTATATAATATAATTTAATTTTTATACTGTATATTATTTTTTATAATAAATTATCTGTTTTTGTAATTGGTCGTTTTCGATTATACCCTACTCCTTTCAATCTATAGAGTTAAATATAATTCGACTTTATCTGCATAATGGCTTAGTTTTCTCTTTCTGAATTATAAATTGCCTTCTCAACATCATATTATAAACTAAAACAAAATAGTAAATAAATGAAATTTAAGACCGTAGTAATACAATTTATATTCAGCTTGATGATAAAAAACTTTATTTCAACTGTTATACCATTTTATAGTTTTTTTACAAGCCATTTGCATTAAAAGCAGAAAAACAAATAGGAAAATAGAATTTCTTTTAAGAAGAGCTATAATGCTGAAATTGTTTCTCAAAATATATAGCTACTTCAATTTTCTTTAAATCCAAATAGAAAAAAGCGTAATTTTATTTATTTTTTCAGGAACATAAAAAAAATATGTCATGAAGTTTCATGTAGTTACTTCAACTAGTTACTTCATTAATAATTTTATAGAAAATGTGGCAATAGTTACTTTTTAAATAAACTGTACTTTTTTGAAACATAAAAAATGAAGACACGCAATAAAATTAGTTAATCACACTGATTATGGTTGTACCACGGTAATAAAAAAAAGGAGAAATGATATTAAAAACAGGCAAAGAGCTAGAGAGGCAACGTAACAGAGCCAGAGACGAGGCAGAATTTAGAGTTTGGCGATCAAACTGTTTTTTTTTTTAGTTGATATTATGAGATCATTAATATTTATTTCAAAATATATTACTTAATATATTTTAATAGAATGTTGGCTTTGATTAGGAGGTAGAGGGAGAGTAATGAAGGGGCGGCAAAATTAAGTTGGCCTGCTTAAAATAAAAATAGATTGATCTTATTGTATTTACCATAAATCAATATAACAACTTCCCGCAAATTACAATCAGGATGACGCCATGGTACTAAGGTAAGCATCTTAAAAGAAAAATGTTATTTATTTATCAAAACAATGTATATAATGAAATAGAATGCATCATAATAAAATAGAATGTTTGATATTATTAGATCGCCTAACTGACAGTGCATTTAGGCATTGACAGTATATATTTATACATATCAGTGTCGGTCTTAGAGTGGGGCATCCTGGGAATTTGCCCCGCGACGCTGCACAGAGGTCCCAAATGTCCCAATATCTATTTAAAGTAACAGGTCTAAGCTATCCAGAACCAGATTTTCAGACCTCTAAGACAAATTGTAAATTCGTTAATCTAATTGAAGTAATAAAAAACTTGTACAAAAGGAGCTGGATTTGGCTAAGCAATAATTTAAGTTTTCATTTAAAATCTTTTTTTATTTCGACTTAACTGCTTTTGTCATTTTTTAAAGAATATAAATACGCGTCGATTGAGCAAACAAACATTTATTTTTTTCATCTAGGACCATTTCAAATATTAGGTAATTTTGAAAGTTTCAGGGAAATTCTGTGCATTTGCTCCACTGCAATTGTTCCAAATTTTTCCAATCGGTTGACAATTATTTGAAAATCTTCATTGAGATTTCTACATCAATAATTAATAAACAATAGCTGCCACAACCTGCCACCATTGACTTGACATCCTTTGGAATTAATATTTGTTTAATTTTCTCTACGCCTATGGCGCGAAAGTAAAGCTATTTAATAACTATAATGATCAGAACAAATGTTGATATAATTCAGTGGCACTGGTTATATATTATAGAAAATAAAAAAGAAACGATGAAAAATAGTAAGGCAGTGCAGTCAAAAAATGCACAGAATTTCCCTGAAACTTTCAAAATTACCTAATATTTGAAATGGTCCTAGATGAAAAAAAAATGTTTGTTTGCTCAATCGACGCGTATTTCTATTCTTTAAAAAATGACAAAAACAGTTAACATTTTTTTATACGTTTTATAAATTGCTGTAAAACTGTACATTTTTTTTGGTTATAATTTATATTTTCTTTGCAGGTATAAATAATAACTAAAAAGGATTATATATCTGTATGTATGTATATATATATATATATATATATATATATATATATATATATATATATATATATATATAACATAAAATGATAAAATGATAAAAGTTTTTTTTTTTATTATTATTTATGAAATTTACTACTGTACATTTAATGTACATTCAGCAAATGTGATACAGATAAATACACGACATGACAAGACTTGTAGAGAATCTACCCATTCGTAGCACTCTAATAAAGTTTCTAAATTAGGAGATCCCGAGGCCATCTTCTTTTCAGACGCCTAGTAAGTTTATCAGGAATCGAGGAGAAATCAAGGTTAGAAACGAGAGGATTAGGATGGTTCTGAAGTTTATTATGGAACTATAGGTATCTAGATTGGGCCAAATCGGAAACATATGGAACATTCAGGTCATTATGAACTATTTTATTTGTTACAAAGTAAGGAGCTAAAGGATTTCACGAAGAATTTTGGATTGTAAAATGATGAAAGTGAAAAACCTTTTACAGTTTCATCTAAAGAACATTTGAAACATAGACATTTTAATTTTTTATCATGAATAATAATCTATCTATACCTATTCCGACTAAATCAATTTCTGGACATTTGTTTGGTATCCTGCCTCATTTTAATACAGAAGTATTCTTTCATATTAATTCATTTATTATCAAATTATATTGATATTTCGTTTAGTGAAATTGCTTCCACAAGCAAAGCTTCTTCATTTGACCAAAAGTTTCTGAAAGCTAAACATTTTTTTATAAATGATGTATCACTTTCCACTATGTGAGAATAACAACAAAATAAGATATCTTGATATGTATATTGACGGAAACGAAAGTGGCGATCTTAGCACGTCGTGGTGTAAAAAAACAATAACCAGTAATAGAATCCTTAATTGGCACAGCAACCACAAAAAACATAAATAATTAATACAGCTAAAAATTTAATAGACAAAGCAAAAATAAAAACCGATGAAAATCATATGAAAGAAATCAAAACACAAATATATGAAATGCTATTAGAAAACTGGTACCCCATTCGATTAATAAATAAATTGTGGTATAAAAATAAAAAGTTGGTTAAAAATGACAATAGTAACAAAGCGATAAAAGATATCAGGGATGATAAAAGCGAGAATGAAAAACAAAATAACAAAATTAATAAAGAACCGAATTTAATAACAAATTATTTTAAAACCGAAAATACAGTAAAACAAAAACCTTCCATAAACGATATACATGACATTAAAACACAAAATGAAAAATATAGTAAAAACAAACAACCTAAAAAATATGTTAGCGTCACATATATTAGAAATTTAAGGGACAAAATAGAAAGAACATTTAAACAATATGATGTAAATGAAATTAAATTTGCAATCAAACATATTAATAAAATAAATAAAATTTATTCCAAAACTAAAGATAAAATACCCACCGATAAATTAACGAATATTATTTATAAAATAAATTGTAAAAATTGAAACAACAAATCATATATTGGACAGACATCACAATGGTTTGAAAAAAGACTTAAACAGCACAAACAAAATTGTAATTCAAAAAATACAAAAATTAAATTAGCTACTGGGCTCTCTCAGCACACTATGCAAACAAAACATGAATTTGATTTCAATAACGCCAAAATCCTACATAATGAAAGTAATATGAATAAACGTAGAATAAAAGAAGCAATATAAATAGCTAAAAATTTAAAAAAAACTCTGTAAATAATCATACAGATGTGGATAATATGAATACCATATGAATATGAATACTTTTACGCTTGAAGTTCGATTGAAAAAAAAAATATGAAATGAATTAGCTGATTGTACTTAAAATAAATCCATGTATAATATTGGGAAACATCATTGTATATGTTTTAAAATAAATAGTCTTCCCCTACTTCTTTAAGAATAACCAGTCACGAAACTGAAATGAGGCTGATGAGATGTCGGTGGCACATTATAAGGTAATTTTAACTTATTTGAATCATTTAATAATAAATAATTGAGTAATAATAAAGTTATAAAATAATTAAAGATGTACATGACAAAAATAATTTTTTTTTACATGAGTAGACGCATGCAATTCGCATAAGTTGAAAAGGACAGGTACATGATTGGTATTTTAGGTATATAAAAAGAATCTCTATATGTTGAAGTATGTAATTTTTAAATATGACTGTAAATTGTAAAAAAAATTTATACTTGAAAATGGTTCAACGAGCCGAAACGTCGTAATCAGATGTGTAGTCATTAAGTTGACCAAAATTTTGAAAATTGGTGTAAAATGGCTGAAAATAAATAAACTTGAAAATAAATAGTATGCACCAAAGAAGAATTGGAGAAATATTGTGAAAATGTTACCTGTTTTTAATATGTCCCATATCATAATTATGTTAATAAAAACAATAGTGTAGAATTAGTTGAATTCATGTTCAGTTTTTCATACTAATATCCATACTAGAATAAAAACTAAAGATTTTAAGAAAGAAAAGGTACTGAACTAATGAAACTCAATTTACTCACCGAAAAAATATAAATGTATTTCTAATAAGTTTTACATCGATTAATGACTTAACTTAAGTACTAAAATGCTCTTATCAGAGTTTTCTTAGCAATTAAATTAGAAAAAATAATGAAAATAATGTGTCAAAAGGGCTAGCTAAATTGTCGCTGAACATATATACTACTATTCCAGTGATATTATAAGATTGAAATGGACGGTAACTTCTGGGTCCAAAATTAGATATTCATTAATTAATTTAAAAGATAATGCAGAAATCATACGAATTTTTTAAACCCCTTTACTAATACTAATTAGTGAAAAAAAATACATATAAGGATTAAAGTATTCTACATTGTTATTTCTTTGGTTTTTGTCTTTTTCATTGAGGTATAATTTAATATAAATCATTATCACATTTCATTCAAATTTATTCTCATAG